ATAAATAGCTACATTTATTTTCTTAAAAAAATCTCACCAAAAACGTTTGTGATACCAGGCACCTGGAAACAAATTATAGTCTGGGATGTGCATTTGTGGACTTTGTATTTGTGGTATTGGTACTTCTCAGCGTGGTTCTCTGTTATAAATCTTGAGCTTTTATGGCTTCCTGTAATCAAAAGTGAAATGATGGGTTTTTTCGCTGTTGTGTGGCTTCTATGCTCGCACACTAATTTCGGTGCTATCTAGCTTTCTCTCTCTTTATATTTTAAGTATTATGAAAAAGAGCCAGACTGTTCATCGGGGAAACTAATATGTCATGAAGGAAGTGTAGTTCGCCGATGGGATCTTCGAACTAGATTTTATTCGAAGACTCGAAACATTGTTCACAAGCTTCCTCGCTTGCATATTTCCTCGTGTTCTGACAGTATATGGATGGGCATCCAAGAATATATTTTTAGTTCTTATTGAGTTGCCGTGTTGCAGAATCTAATAAATTAATAAATGACCGGTGGTCCCTTCGTCATCGATAACAGGTTGGTCCTGATATGTTCAAGCCCCGTTCACTATTCAGAAGAGTTTTACGTCTGGTCTGCAGGAATTAAATCGAGATATGTCACAATGCCGGAATGTATTGGTTACACCCAACCCCCCCCCCCCCCCCCGCAATTTTTAAAAAAAAAAGGAATGTCGGGTGCGAAAGTTTTGCCCCCACCTAAAAAAAATCCTGCCGACGCCCATGCCCTTCCCCATGGATTATCTCGTCATTCTTATCCAGCCCGCCTGCACCTTTGCATTAATTGCATTAGGGTGGTTTCATCTCAAATCAGACAGGAATAGGAATTTTTCATCAAAATTTTTAATTTTTATGAAAAAAAATATATGTTGTCGAGGCATTTCTCAAATGAAGGAAGGCGCAAACCGCATGTTCCCCAGATTTTTTTGTTCTCGAGTTACGAAGCGTAGAAGCCGCAGTGGCCGAAACTAGTATTTTTGCCTGCTGTCGCAGGGGGCGTGTTTGACAACCTCTGCTGGCACTAGTTTTTGTTTCTCCACCCTTTTAACTTTTCCCCCCGTTCTAAATAGAAACAGTTGTTGACATGTTGCGAGCCCTTTTGATTTATATATACTTGTTACTATCTTTTGTAGTGTGCTTATGTGGTTTCTCTCTTACTTCAAGTTTTAAATTGTGTGTGTGTGTGTGTTTTCTTCGTTTTCTTCCTCAAGTTTAATATCACAAGTTCGCCTAATTTACGTTCCTTTTTGAAAACGTAAACAAAAATAAACACATATTTTCGAAATCGTAGAGGCGCACAATGCCGGCAAGGTTGCTGTATTTTAGTCAAATGAGCACAAGATTTCACGCGATTGCGGCTCAAATATATAGGACATACAATATTAAATTTCTAGATCGTTTTTTTTCTTGTAGTGAACTATTATATTAAAATAACTTAAAAAAATAAAAATTTACAAAAATAGGGTTTTGAGAAAATCGACCTCAACGTTTACGTGAAGGTAGCGGAGCGGCTAGTAAACAGATCATAATGATATTATTATATCTATAACGGGCCTGCTTTGAGCTTTATATAGAGCAGGAACGGCCAAGCTGCGGCTCTTCGCGAGTTAAAGTGCGGCTCACGCACTTCAAACAATGACCCTATTTACGAGACAAAACTTTTCTGTATAATTTGTCCAAGAAACAAACCATAGCTCGCACAAATTATATAAAAAAAGTCCCGATATTTTCTTATATGTTGTGAACACAACATATTTTTTTATTACAAACTAGGAGCAAGGGCATATTTACGCAGTCAGCGAGAGGATTTCGAAATAGGTTAGTATTAAGCAGTTCAAATAGTAAGGAATTAGCTAAATATAAACATATTAAACAAACCGTGGCCTGTTCCTCAATGATAAACTGTAATTAAAATCATCTTTATAAATCTTCTCAGTGTTTTTCTGCTGACGCTTTTTCGGCGTCTAGAGGGCTCATAAATTCTCGCAGCGCTGTCGTTTTGTTCTTTAACATTCAAATGACAGTCGCATTATTATAATCAATCGGGCTTCTCATATACGATGACTCTTTAGGACGGGATTCAGCGATTCCACGCGCACGAGAAAAAAAACAACAAAAGGCTATTTGCGATATTAGTGCAGTGTATCAAGCATGTTCCGTAAATTCGGCATTGTCACTGACCTGTACACAATAAGCCAGCACTAAGAACACTCGAGGGATAAGAATAAATAAACAAAAATTCAATTGTTGAGTCTGGTGTGCATGCAAGCAACCTTTCTGATGTCGCACAAATTCTTCAATCAACACATCGCTGATTCACGAAATCACTTTTTTTTTGCTTGCTACACGGTGGCCCTCTCCTCGCGCGTGCAGTGACTAATGAATATTCAGCAACGAGCCCAGTCGTTTCGGAGGGATGCTCCTTCCGGTGTACATGTGACTTCCGCTACCAAGATGCCTACAAAAGCGAGTGCCTATTGCGTTCTTTCCGCAGCCTTCCTGGAATCAGTCTGACGGTTGTGGTCCTGTTCTCCCTGAGTTCTCGCCCTTGTCGTCGTCATGTCTGTGGTACTCTACAGCTGCGAGCCCAGCGCGCCTTGCCGTGTGGTCAGGATGGTGGCCAAGCACATCGGCCTTCCGCTCACAATTAAGGATGTCGACATTCCTGCTGGTGACACCAAGAAGGAAGATTTCCTTAAGGTAAATCAAGGCGAAAGTCCAGCACCCTTCCTTGCGCTTTGAGGAACCCTTCATCGTTTCGTCTAAAGGAGCCCGCCCTCGGATACGTTACAGGCTGTTTTCTAGGATTGTCGCAAGTCTTCTCGTATCCTTACAGGTTAGAGGGTTGAGAGGATCCAGAAGTGGCTGGAAGGCGCCATTTTCTTTCGTCATAAACGCGTAGGCAATGAAAGACGGATGTGCGCGTGTCCGCGAGCTGAGGATCAAACGCAGTTGGACGCTGTGTCTGGAGGTGCCCGGTGTTTGAAGAGCCAGCTCTGTTGCTTTTTTAAGCATTGTTTTTCGTTTCCTGGTACCCGAATGGCCAGTTTCATGTTTCGCTAATAGTGATATAATTCGCCTGTTTCTGCTTTCTAGCTTAACCCGGCCCACACTGTCCCCACTATGGTCGATGGCAACCTCGTACTCTTCGAAAGGTATACTGTTATTTCCGACGTTCGCCCACCTCCGCCATGTTTGAACGGTACTCCTTTCGTCGCAGCCGCGCCATCGTTACCTACCTGGTGGACAAGTACGCTGCAGGCAGCCCCTTGTATCCCCAGGACATCGAGAAGCGCGCGGTGATCAACAATCTGCTGATGTTCGACATTGGCACCCTCTACAAGACCATGTCTGCCTACTTCGTGAGCACACTTTTCTCTCGCCTCGTTTTTGTTATCGTTTCTCTGGGCTTATTTCTATCTTTATTTATTTGAAAATAGTACCCGGCCCTGCTTTTCAAGAAGGAATACGACCCCGCTGCCGAAGCCCCCATGACTGATGCTCTGCAAGTTCTCGGAAAACTGCTGTCTGACAAGCCTTACCTGACCGGCTCCGACATCAGCCTTGCCGACATCGTTGTCGCTGGTACCCTCTCCTTCGTTGACGTATGTCCCCTTTTTTGTTCCGATTATCCTTATTGGTAGGACCTGCCCGCATTTCTGCTCTTCGGTGTTCTGTGTGCCGTCTAAAGCGTAGGGGTCCAGAGCTGCGGTCTGGTTTGTAGGAACTCGATCGTGTACTTAGTTCCTTTTCTTTCATTACTCTTAAGTCCCTACCCTACTGCTGCTACGAGCTAATGCATGGTAGCGATGAGGTGGCGTCGCTACCGGAGTTCACTAGTCTTCTTGCTTTTATGATTTGCTGAACAGTGGTGGGCCTCGTAGTGAAACGGTGCACGTTCCTTATTTCCCGATTGCTGGCTTACTGCAATTATTCGGAGGCCGACGTTCGGTTTTTTATGTCCTGCTTTGTCCTGCCCCTAACGACAGTTGTTCCCCCTTTCAGGTCGCCGCTTACAGCCTGGACGCCCATCCCAAAGTCCGGGACTACTACAGTGCCCTCAAGAAAGACCTCCCGTACTACGCAGAGGTGAACGACAAGGGCATCGAGATGTTCCGGAAGTACTCTCAGAAGTAACCATGTACCGTTCTAGGTTGCAGTGGCAAATAAACATCCCCCTCGTTTACTTTCCTTCCTTTGTCTCCGATCCCTCCTGTTTTCCCTTCGCTGGTGGGTGTGGCTCCCGCCTTCCCCCCAATGGAGTACCGTCCTTCCTCAGGTTCTTCTCCCTGGGTGCAGTGGCGGTTTTCATGCGTCACTCCGCGGTGGGCGTCCTGTGCAGTGCATCTCGCATAACATAAGCTGTCGGCATTTTTTTTCTCCCTTCGCCTGTGCGGATTACACTCCGTCTCCCCTGCTAGGTGTTTTAAGGTTGTGTCTTGCATTGCTGTGAAATGATGCCTTTCTGCTGATGTCGAGCTGAACCCGGGCCCAGAAACAAGGACTAAAAAAAATGATCGCCGTAATGCTAGAAACCCCCAAAAAACGAATAAGCGATGACACCATAGAAAACCAAACTAGCTTCAATGGAAGAGTAGACGAACTCTCAGAAAACATTAAACGGCTTGAAACTTTTGTCTAGAACAGTGACGCCAAAGTCAGTGGCCTTAAAGATACCGCCAGAAAGTTCAATGCGACCATTCAAGCACAACAGGAGAAACTTGTCGACATTGAAGATCGTAGTCGAAGAAACTTGGTAATTTTTGGCATCCCTCAGAACCAAGACAAAACAACAACAAAGACTTAAAATCGAAAGTAGTCGCAGATGTTTTCTAAAGTCGCCTGGGAGTTACAGTACAGTTGATCGCACAGAAGCAACCCAACAGAATTCGGCCAGTTATCATGAACTTTGCTCACTTCAGAGAAAAAAAAAAAAAAAATCTTTCCAAACTGCGAAAAATTGAAGGGCTCAAGAATATCTATTTCAGACGACTTTTCACCGACCCCGATAACCAGATGAAAGATGCTCTGGGAAAGTGCGAAAGCAGCGAGGAATGATGGCGCGCATGTACAGCTCGTTAAAGATAAAAATAGCATAAATGATGATTTCTACTCGGGTCATGAGGAAAACGGCCGCGTCAAACTTAATAGGAATAGATCCAACAATAATAAATGACTCGCTGAAAAAAAGCGAGGAATTACGTGTGATCAATCTAGACGCGCGCAGTCATTGAACTCGAGCAGGAACTAATGCTTTATAACCCCATGTTGTCGTAGTAACAGAGACATGGTTACACCCATAAAAAAAAAGTGACGGAGAGTTACTATCTCCAGAGTATAAGTAAGAAAAGATAGGAAAACCACAGGAGGCGGCGTTGCATTAATTCTTAAAAATAATATCGACTACGTAGTAATGAAAGACATTCAGGAAGTTGAATGTAGATGGTGTAAAATTAACTTTTATAATACACACTATGTCGTCTGTGCATTTTATAGTCTCCGGAGGCTCCTAATCTAGCCTTGGAAGCACTACACGATTACCTCAGTGCTAACATTAGACTCAGAACCAGACTAATTACTGCTGGGGATTTCAACTTGCCCGGAATTAATTGGGATGAGCTTGATGCAGGACATGGAGATGGCATTAATTGCGAACTTCTCGATATTGCATTTAACAATTGTCTGACGCAAGTTGTTACGGGTTTCACTCCTAACAAACGGCTTGGGACATCCAAACTGAACCCGTATTTTTAGAAACGAAAATGATGGGGTTCTCGCCAGCGGACTGCGCCTGCGGGAACTTTGACCGAAATTTTAGGGAAAGGAAACACAGCCCGAGGTTTCAGAAAATAAACAGTGACTCACTTGGACACGAGTTGCGAATCCGCCTGTAAACGCGAGGAAGACATGGAAGCGTGCTGTTCACTGAAAAGTTTGCTTGTTTTTATAATTTCTAGATGGAAAAATTAGTTCAGCTGAGAGATTGTGCATTAATATTTCGTGTGACGTCTTGGTTCTAATAGGGTTGGTGATCAAGAAAGAATATCAAGTGGGTAATTCGGTAGGATAACAACCTTTATCAAGGAGGAGTCTTTGAAATGTACCCAGACGTAAGTACCGCATCTTGGTCTCACAGCCAGTCCGTTTTAGTAGGTAAAGCAGCCCCTCTTTAGGCAACATGCAGCAAACATAGAAAAACCATAACTTCAAGGGAATCGTGTTCTGAAGCTCGCCGATGCCGAACTCGGACTAATTCGAATGGTGTGCGTGCCTCCACCGCCCAAGTGCATTCGTCGCATGTTCATGGGGTTTAGTTCTGTCCCGGTTGGACAGCGCAAGGCTCGTCTATTTCGAGCAGTTGTACTTTATAGAATCGTTCTCCTAAAATTATGAAAATTATGAAATTATAAAAAAATTATGAAATTATTAAAATTATGGAATATTATGCAAATTATGAAAATTATGAATGATGCGTAGGTAGTACTGAATCTGTTGTATTTCCGTTTTAATTTTGATGGGGCCCAAAAGCTTTCCCTTCAAACGCTCAGTAGTTATGTATGCCTTTTTCGTGTTTCTTTTGAGCATCGCATTGGTAATCGAGTAAAGTAACGAAGTAATTAATCGATTACCTCTTACGGGAAGTAATTTGTAACGGTAATCTATTACTTTTTAGGCCAAGTAATTGTGACTGGAATTAATTACTTTTTTTGAAATAATGGGCGCGTCTGCCGCAGAGGCCGGCGGGCGGCCCGCCTCTGCGGAGGACAGCGGGCCGCGCTACTTGTAGGAATGCGCTGAGTGTACGAATGCTTTCGCATTCTTATACGTAAACAGCTTAAGCGTCCTCCTGTAATTTTTTGTACTCACAGTTTAGCCCAACGTTGACGCATGAACTTTCAAGAAGACGTAAATAAATTCACCCTCACTCTGCACAAAAATTACGATGAAATTTTCGTCGTGTCATCATATATCTCCCACTCAAACTCTATGCTTATTGGAGATTAAGTTTTTGCAAACAATGAGATCGGCTGTACGACTGAGGCCCCAAAACCGTCCCCTACTCCTCGCTAATCCTTTTTGGACGAGCCTTTACCGACGCCCAATGGTGGGTTTAAAATTATCTCGGCATACTCAGTCAGGAAGAAAACAAGCACATAACAAATCTTATGGCCATTAGCAACCGTCAAATGCGCTTGGAATGCTAGTTAGTTTGGCGCATCGCATAGGGGTTCACGCCCGTGAACGTGCCGTCCGGCGAACGGTGCGACACTCTTCACGCAAGTGCTCGCTGTTGCTTTTTTTGAAACGGTTTGTATGTGAAAATGGCGCATATATATGATTCAATGATTGCAGGATACCTTCATGCGCACACGCGATATTGAATTTGTAGAAGGCCAAGCGGGTGGGGACTTCACTTCGTGCAGTGCTGCGGGTCAGTACAGATAAAAGATAAGCAGTGCGTTCGATTTTTAGCTTTTCAATGTTGTCTCCGAGTTTTACCTCAAATAGTAATTTCAAGAGGTAATTTGGTCAATGAACGCACAAAACAAGTGACAAACTTGCTGACCAGCAACACTAATGTAAAGGTGCGAGTTCGGTGTATGCGTACTTATTGGTTGTTACAGCGTGTTGTTTCGTACACAAGAAAGATCCCGGAGCTTTCCAGCGTCGAGATTCCCAGCACTGGCTCGTCCACCATACATCAACACGCTAACAGAAAGGCTCAAGTACAAAAATGCAACAAGCCTGTGGTAATTGACAAACTTTACATATGGTTCGTGCTAGAGCTTCGAGGTATGGCCATTTAGGTTATTTTAAAGACCAAAAGCAAGGCTCACGGGAGAAGGAAACATGAGATAACGACGATAATAAACCTGGAGAAGGGTAACAAGGGGGACAAAGGACAAACACAAACTTCCAGACACATCTAGGTGACTGGTGCGCGACCGAAAAAATCCGCCTGGTCCTTATTATCGTCTTTCTTGTCCAGCTCGCCTGCACCTTTGCATTAATTGCCTTATCATCATGAGATAACGGTTGTTTACAGTCCACGTTCTCTGTAAGATCTCTTACCGACGTTTCGATCGAAACCGAAACCATGCAACTTTCCTCCCTGATCACCTAGTTCCCAAAGTCCAACGTACGCAGTGCTGTACGCTTGCAGGGATTTATGGATGTAGTTTATTTGGGCAGGACTGCACAGCATAGCAGGGCTTCCTTGCGTGTGGCGCCTTTTCCCTATGGCTGGCAAAAGTGTTTATGTAACTATAAAGCAAGCAATTCCGTTCTCGTCACAACGATTGCGCCGATATTTACCTTTTCTTAAGAAGGTCGGGGTCAGAATGACAATTTTTTTCGCCTTACATTTCACGCATAAGTATTACGTTTGGTGCACGGTCGCTGGTGCAACAGAAAACATGGATCCAAGACCACTACTAAAACTGATATGAACTTTTCAGCACATTGAGATATAATGTGATACCTGAACGAATAATTCGGCATTGACCCCTTGACGCTGAGCTACCAGCTGAGAGTATCCCTACTAAAGGGAGCAGCTACACACCTTTGCTAATCCCGAGCTCTAAACTAATGACAGCAAAAAGACAAATGAAGAAAGAAACCCGCCTTCAATGTAGTAGTTAAAGTTTCGGCTGACTGCTTGGCGAGAGTGAACTGGCATTTCGTTCGCATTCAGCCCGTTGTAACCAATCCTGATTAACTTTTACCAGCATCGGCGAATTTGGTTGCGATTACACGTGGATATCGGGCGTATGAAACTCTGTCATTGTCGCTTCCGATATATAAAGTATAACAACCTCGTAACCCTTACACGAGGGTTACTTGTTTCTTGCTCCCTTCATGCCTAGGCTACATTGGCCCTGGAACTCGTGGTTTTCGTGCTTGCCAGTTTTCCCCCGCAGTACGTCCTAGCAAGTTTGCCCGAGCCTTACTCTTGCAATTCTGGGGAAAGTTGCTACATAAAGTGCATAAATGGGATGTGTATAAGCAAAACGCTGCGCGTTCCTGTATACGTCTCCATGGTGTGGTTCCAACGGCCAGGGGGGTTTGAGGAGTTATTAGAGGCCGCTGTATAACCTAACCTATCGCTGAGAAATGGTGTTTTCCCATGTCTTTGGAAAAGGACATTGGTAGTGCCAATACACAAAGCCGGTGACGTGTCTAGAGTAAATAAC